AAATTTACACCAATTATTGCAACATCTGAGGCTGCTAAATAACAATGTGTGATATATTAAAGAGTACTTAATCAAAAGTTTTTTATAGTATATTCATGAATTCACTTTATTTTTTGACTCCCAAAGTAGTGGTTTTGGTCGATAATTGGACTAGTATTTTTCTGTCTATTTTCAACTAGTATGATACTGGTATATTTCTGACCGAAATCTGACAATTGCCATCTCGTAGGACATCCCCATGTTAAAAATACCAGTTGGTTGCATGGAAAAAAGATAGTTGGCTGACTAGTTGGGCATGTGGTTCATACTAGTTGTGAAGTAGTTTACAACTAGTACATTTGACTACAGGGTAAGTACATAGTTATTATGACAGTCCTTCAAATCAAAAGCGCTGCTTAACAGCGCCAGTTTTAAGGAACATAACGTCATATTTCTTCATACCTTGCTTCTCTTAGCCGTATTCAGAATAAATTTAAGCATAACTTTAAGCATATTTACATTTTTGAATATTCATATTAGACGGTATTTTCTTTCAAAACTTCAATGTTACTAGCATTAATTACTTTTTAGTAAACTCTTTATTGTAACTGTAAAAAATGCGTTTCCTTCCTCAAGCCCACTATAGAGCAATTCACCATTTGCTGACATTCAAATTCACGTCAATGATATTTAAGAAAAAATATGACACATTTCACCGCAATAAAATCCACTGCAATTGTCGTAACAAAAGCCAGCATTGGCATAGATAAGCCAACCAATAATATGGGTACCAAAAACAAAACCAAAGGCAATGGAAAATATTTAAACCAGCCCCCAACAATTGCAACACAACCCCCGCCACCCAACGCTTGCCAGAAACAATTTTAAATTGCAGCGCAAATCTGACCCTGTTAGACACAACTTTGCGGCAGTAAGGTCAATTCAGCAACAACAATAACAAGTATAACGAAACGAAAATCAGAGCATATAGTAAAAAAAGAAGAAAATCCACATGCTTTATAATAAAATGTTTGGCTAACAACAATTATACATGTACTAGCATGTAAGTATATAGTAAGTTTGTGACAACAAAAACAAGCAGAGCAGTCGTACTGGCACAATAAACTGACTGGGCGTGAGAAATTTGAGTTAAATCGACAGCTGTATGCAACAACAATGCAGCTTACTGGAGTCAAAGCGACTAAGCGGTCTTGATGAATGCCAAATGGGTAAGAGAACACCAACAATAAGTAAGCGTTGAGGCCGCAAGGCACATTTTGGTTTACATACATATTTATGTACGTACATATGTTTACATTTAAATTAGTTGGTCATTAAAATCGCGCTGGGTTCTAGCCAATACTCAACGCACTCGTTTTCGGCCATTAATGGGCTTAGTAGTGTGGGAATGCATACAGCTTGCTAAATTCTACTTAGTATTACGAAATATTACAAGTTTTACAAATTCTTCGAGAATCAGGGCAACCAGTTATTCTGAGAAGAAATAAAATTTGGGACGAACCACGAATGCAACGAACATACGTGTGTACGCAATCATCAACTATACATACATACATATGTACTTTTACCAGTAGCCACCGGCAACGCTGCACCACGACGATATTTAATTGTCAACAATGTGCAAAGTTGTCACAGCCAAGACATGTCCCAAAAAAATCGTTCGGGCAAATTATGTTATGGCCAATAAAATGCTTGTATTCACTTAATTAAAAAGAGCAGCCACGATTCAATTATGCATCGAGCGGTTGGCTGGCGAGTAATTGCGGGTGATACTCATTGCAATGTCTGAATCAATAGCAGAGAAGTGCAAAAACCTCAAATGCATAACAATGATTTCGAGAGCGAGAGTGATAAAGTCCACATTAAGCACGCAAGAGACAGAGCTCAACTTTGTGCAACTTGAGCGCAGAGTGGTAAGCTGTGAAGACGGGAATGGTGAGAGCAAATGGAAAAATGGCAATGTAAATAGAAGCAAAGCAGTGAAATCGCCGGGTCTAATGGGCGGTCTAAGAATAAGGTCAATCAAGCGTGAAAATACACGTTCTGAGCTGACGTTTGCAATCGAGTAATGCGGACGTTTCTGTGGAAAAAGGGCATTAGGGTGGGAGGGTATGCGATATGTGTGTGTGCAGTGTTTGCATTGAATTTCAATAGCCAATGACCAGAAGGTAATCACAGTCGTTCAGCGAACTGATGAGCTTGTGTTTTGTGTGTTGGACGGTTGGAAGTACTTTAATAATTTTATTGGGTGTAAACTGTGTTGGTCGCCCAGTGAAACACTATTAAGGGAGCTGGTTGAAGTCTACGAGACTGTGAGTTGCTTCTTAATAGATAACCATTATGCCTAAAGCCTGAAAGAGCAATTTCGACGACTGTCTTTCAACTTACCACAGTCTTTAAAAGTCTTTCGTAAGAAAATTTTTAATTCTGGAAATTATCTTAAAACCTCTTTTGGGTCTTTCGAATGACTAATTGAAAGATTTGCTAACGAGGAGGACAGAGCGGTATTATGCTTGTCTTTTAGCAATAAGATTTCTAAAAATCAAATTCAATAAAAAAATATATATTTCTTTTCAAAACAATAACATCTAAAAATTAAAAGAAAAGAAAAGTGAAAAAGAAAGAAGGTTAAATTATAAAACTTAACAAATAGATAATATAAATTTCTAGAAATTTAAATAATTAAAAAATATATATATGAAGGTATGTATTTTATTTCTAAAACAATAAAGTTCAAAATTTAATTAAAACAGAAAAACAATATATTTAAAAAATAAGTTCCTACAAATTTAATGAAATTAAAACCTATTTTCTTTTTAAAAACTTAGTAAATAAGGAAAAATACATAAAATAAGTGCCTAGAAATTAAATTAAACTAAAAAATAAATATTTGTTTCTGTTTTCAACAATGAAAGCGAAAACTGAATTAAAAAATAATAATTAAATAATAAGAGATAAAAAATTCCGCTGCCGGAGAATCTGAATCTAGGATCTCTTGAATGGCAGGGCAGTGCTTTGCAGCCGCTACGTCGAACAGGTAAGACATCTTACCACTTTATTCGCGCCAAAAATCATTACAAGTTAAACTTAATTACTTATTAAAACCTGTTTGGCAAAGCATAATATTAACTGAGCACTGACATAGGTCCATGCCATGGACTGAACCCAAAGTAATACCTGTTGGCAAGAGTTAAACTTCGCTGAATCTCCGGGCTTACATTATTAGTAATACCAATGCTGGATCCAAAGGGTCCTAAGTACACAAATCCTAAAAAGCGATGCCTTTTCAGTGTTGTCAGCAGGTATTTTGCTTCGTCATCGTTCAACCCTGGATCAAACTCTTCTTCAAAAGGTGTACCGAGCCAGACCAAAGATGTAATTGACCCTGAAAAGACTTCCAATTTGGTTATTGCTGAAGGTTGTGCTGAACGTTACGCTTATCGTATCTGAGTTAGCCAAAAAGAAGTTGAAAAATGTAAACAATTGCTAAGAAAACGAATCACTGTGGCAATTAATTTAGTTTAGGGTACTTCAGTGCAAATCGATTTTTTTTTTGCATACTTAAAAGCAACTCAATAAGCTCTCTTTTGATTGTGCTTATTCTCTTTTACCACTTTGTACTTTGTGGAACGTAAATTTATCTTGGCCAAATAAAACACCTGTGCTCGGCGCTAATCACGTTTTCGCTCTTGCTCTAACCCGCTTCCGCTCTGCAAACCTTCAACACATAAGCATTTGGGTTTCTCACAGCTCACTATTTATGTATGGATGTACATACCAGTGTTGCCAAACATGGGCTTTTCCTACCAAAACTGGTAGGTTTGGTAAGCTAGATTCGATTTTGGTAGGTTCCACGACAATAATAATAGTTATTTGCGAAAAATATAAAATATTTATGTATATATAAACATTTTAGATTGTTTACACGAATATATCACCGGTGCCTTGGTATAACGGAGACCGTAAGAATGTAAATATACATACCTGATTCGTAAGGACAATATTGCTAATATACAATATGTACATCCAAGTTATATACTTTATGTGTCTACAACTTAGTTTCAATCGAACTCAACTAGAGACTACATATGTATGACTGGGTGCTGAAAAAGGCTTGTCAATAAACTCACTGAAGTCCACCGTTGTCCATCTGACAGAGACTTCATGGTAAGACTTGGGGAACATCACCAAAACTAGCCTATTGGTCTTTCAATATGGTAGTGAGACCCGTTGTCACACATGTGGCACTAGCCTGATGGCCAAAAGCTGGGCAAGTAAAGGAAGGTGCCACCTTGAGCAAGCTGCACCCACTGGTCCGTGTGGCCATCACAGGAGATATGGGCACCTGATCAATGGATGCCCTTTATATCATTACAGGCATTGCTCCTCTGTCTATTCTGTTTGAAAAATAGGCATGCTGGAGCGGCCTACGACTGTCCAATATGATCAGAAAACAAAATGAAAAGTCTTAGAGTCTTTTAAAACGGTATCAAGCTTGTGGACAGCTGTAAAACTCTCTTGAACCACTTGGATTGTTTGTTGTATGTGATCTACATTTTTAATAAACTTGGCGTTGGCTAGACAATTTAAAAACTTAAAAAATTTTTGGTAGGTTTTGGTTGGTCTTGGTAGGTCTTGGTGGGGAAAAAAAATGTTTCGTGGCAACACTGGTACATACATAATTTAGTGAAACTTCAATAAGCCACCAAAGAAACGCTCGTTCGTTGCTGCGCTTCGTTGCTTGTGTCAGTTGGTTGAATTGTTGGTAACAGCAGTTGCCTATGTGTTTGTACGTTTACGACTATTTGCTAAGTTTGTTGGTAGTTTCATGCACATGTTTTAAGCCAAAACTCAACGGTTGACTTGGTTACTCATACTCGTTAACGCTTTTCGTTTGCATATATATGTGTGTGTGTGAGCGCCATTGCTGACGTTGTTTTCACTGTGTTTTGGTCTCGGAATTTTGCCATTTCAGTTAATATCGAACACTTGCGCTGACAGTTAGTGCTGGCGGAAAAAATTTTTTCGAAAAATTATAGTGTTGGAAACAGCAACAAAACACAAATCATAATAACAAAGAAAAAGTTGTAAATAAAAGCAAAACAAAAAGAAACGATCGTTAACAACAATTTTGACACCGTCGTAAGTTCTTAACTGGTCCGTGATATATTTTCGTAAAGGCATCGGACGCTGAAGTGAAGGCTTTATATAAAGGGCTTTAGTAAAGTGGATCGCGCGCGTTATACATACATATATACATACATTTTTCAAGTAACTGTGTGTGGGTGTGCAAACCGTGAAGACGTGCAGTGTAGGTGTGAAGTGTTGTTTCTCTGGGCAAAAAGGTGAAAATCAGCAATCACATCAATACATTTTTTTGTTAGCAATTTCAGTGAAAAGCGATCAGAGTGCATGTCAGAGCAGAATCAACGATTTTTTTTTTTCGTGTAGTGACTGTTGATGGAAGCGCGCTACAACTTTTTTGTCTACGATTTTGTTTTGTCAATAAATGTTGTCGTTGAAATAGTAACAGTAAAACAGAACATCCGTGAGTGACACGTACTATGAATGTACATATAAACATACATGTTTATGAATGTATGTAAGGACATACATATGTATGTACATAGGTATATCTAGTTATGTTTATATGCACATAAATGCAAGTGACACTAATAGTGCACAAGGTACGAAGCAATTTACATAGCTCAAATTTAAAATGGTGATTGCTGTAAAAAGTTTATGGGAAACATTTTAGAAAATTTTATAAGCGGGCGAAAAAGGAAATAGAGCAATGTAACCAAAGAGATACTGATATTAGATAATGTAATGTGAGATAATAACAAACAATTTCAAATGCGTATCTTCAAAAAATTCGATAAACAATAGTTATTTTTTCATCGATAATTTTTCAAACAAAAATTAAGAGGTAAAATTTGACTTACATTTTTTCGGTAAAAAATATCAGTTACCATTTAGGTACTTTAATTTTTTTCATAAATATAAAAAAATAATTTTTTCTTTGAAAAGTAACAGTTAATATTTCACTTTTGTTTTTTTTTCCTTAAAACATAGCAGTAATCATTTTTAATCAAAAATAGCATTTAAAATTTGACTTATATTTACTGCTATATTAAAGTCTAATTTTTCGAATCAAATTTTCGAAAATATATTTTATTTTGGATCCCTTCCTGGAAAATAAATACAAAAATTTAATAAATAATTATTTAAACTTTTATTATGGAGTAAGACTAATTTTTTCGTGGAGGTGCGAGCTATCACTTGGTAGGAACTGCTTTTAATGCTAAATCAGCGAAATATCCGAATGATGTATTAAAGCTTTTAATAGGTGTTGGTAGATACTTCTCATCATAAGGAGATCACGTAAAACTGCGTATACCGGACACCAAAAAATGGAGCAGAAGCTCAGTCTAGCACTTAGCGCAGATGCGAGGCCCGGTTGTTTGTTATTTAGATCATATGACCGGAATAGAGCCCTCCAAGAACAATTTCTGTGAAAACTTTCGGAATGTAGAAGAGCAAGCAATGATGATACAACACCTATTTCGTCACAGCCCGCTTGTCATCAGACGTGTAGCTTTCATTAGTGAGGGGAAAATATCATTTCAAAGAGATATACTTAACACTTTCTGCGCTGGGGTCTAATAAGATTGGGTCGGTTGGCTTAGTAGTAACGTTGTCGGAATATTGGCACATTCCTGGGCCAGTGAAATGTATAGGGTGATTCAATAAAATCACAAATGTTCGCAATAGAGCCATAGTTTCAAGCGTTGTGTGGCAAGTGGTACCGTCCTGTCGAAATCACATATATTCCAAGTCCATGTTCCATAATTCCGGTCATAAAAAGTTTTTTTACCATATCGCGATAACGTCCATTCACCCTGACAGTGTTACCGACATTATTTTCGAAGAAGTACTGTTCGATCACTCCCGCTAAAATTAGTTTGGAACTGCGACACGGAAGGTTTTTCGGTTGATACGCTAACTGGTGTTTACCTCATTAAAGACGGCCAGTTTTGTTTTGACATATACTATTGGAAGAGAGAAGGTTTTATCCTGCTTTCTTCGTTAGTGCCACCTCATTGCGCCTCTTTTTACTCCAATTATTCCTATGGCCGGAAACCTATATGAGCGAAAACTCTGCTGACTCTGTCTGAGAATTTAACATGCGCAAGTTATAATCTTGTCTAGTTTAGATTTTGATTTAATTTTGGTTGTCTATCTAACAAACTTTACGTCTCCTCATTCCTTACTACTTCCGTTTGGAAGGTGCTGGCAAGGATAGCTACTCGCAGCGAGGAGCAACCCAGCCTAAGCAATAGTCCAACTCTGACCGCCCAGATCGCTTTAATTTCTCCAGCTCCACCCTAATCACGCCTAGTATGGAACTTCACTTGAAGTTAATCCATTTAGCTTCAGTTTCCTTCAGCTGGATGCTCAGTGTCTGATTAAAGTTGTCTGATGAGTATCCATTGGCACATACAACGAGCTGCGTGAGTCGTACCACCGGTTTACCGACTTTTGTCTTCCAGCTCAAACTTGTGTCGAATACTACATACGTCCAAATACTCTTTCGGGAGATATTGTGAAAGTTCTTCCGTTGAAGTAAGATAGTCTAACGTAAAAAAAGCGTTGAACGATTTCGCTTATTTTGGAGGGAAAGCGTTGAAGCAGTGATACCAGTGTATCATCTTCATATGCAATTTACCTCACGCCTTAAGATCTAGAATCTAAGATTTATTATGCACTGTACTATGTGAATTTTCTGAGGCTAGTCCTTATATGGCAAGAGATCCCAAGCCTACGACAGTGCCATTAAAGGCTATCTCTGGAACATATACTAACCTCGCAGCAAGGCTATTGGAATTTTTAAGGTTTAAGAGGGAAAATATTTGGGACAAAACATTTGAATTTGGGTAAAATACAAGTTTGGAGGAAAATTTAAAAATTTCTGGCTTCAGATTCTTTCCAAATTTTTTACTTTAAGAAGAAAGAATTAAATACTTTTTTTAAAGTTATTATTTTAAGGGATTTTTAAGTTTTAGAGTTGAAAATATTTGGGACAAAAAAATTTATATATTAACTTGGCGCAAGCCAAACATTAAAAAAAAATTAATTTAGGTAAAAAACAAATTTGGAGAAATATTTTTAAATTTAAGGCTTAAGCTTAGAAGGAAAAAATTTTTAAATTTGGAAATAAAAATTAAATACCTTGGAATTTCTGGTTTGTAAGGGACAAAAATATTTATTTTGGGTAAAAAAAAAATTGGGGAGTAATTTTAAAAGTTCAAGCCTCAGATTTTTTCGAAATTTTGCCTATTTTAAAAGGGAAAACTTTTGAAATTAGCGAAGAAAAAGTTATATACAATTCTTGAGTTTTAAGAAGGAAATATTTGGCACAAAAAGGTTTTATTTTGGGTAAAAGTCAAATCTGGAGAAAAATTTTTAAATTTCAGGCTTCAGATTTTTTCGAAATATCGCCCAGTTTAAAGGGAGAGATTTTGATATTTAGGAAGAAAAAAATTTTTTTTTAATTTTCGAAAAGAAAACCACATACTAAAATTAAAAATTAAAATTAAAGTATTAACCATTTGTGACTATTAAACACCGATTTTTTTATTAAAAAAAAAATATTTCGCTCGCCAATGTTCCGTACTGTTACGGCATTTAATTAACTTTTTTGTTGTTGTGGCTCAATTCGCAGACTAGCAAATAGCTGAAAGCAAAAACAAAAACTAAAAAAAAAACTGCACAGAAGTAGGAGCAACCAAGAGCTTAGCACATGCCTGCCACAACAAAAGTGGGAACAGCAACAACTACATAAAATTGCAATGGCAAAACAAAATGCTAGGCAAAATACATAGTAGAAACTAAAATAAACTCTAATGTAACTAAAATAAACGTTCACAATAAAAAATAGCGATTATATTAAAAACGAAAAATTTTACAAAAACAAAAAACGGAATTAACGTAACGCAGCAGCGCACACAAGAAAAGTCAACAGCGCGTGAAGAACATTACGGTGCGGTGGGTGGGGTACAAGCGAGGGCGGAAGATGCGCTAGCGCTTACGGTAGTAGTTGAAAAAAAATATGTGCACATACAAGCTTATGTATGTACATAAGTTTATAGCTGATAGCCGACATGCCGGAATAAAGATAGTGACAGATAAGACAGTAGAACTAGAGAGTTGTGCGGCTTTTAATGGAACTTTGCGGAGATTTAAAAAAAATAAAAATGTTTCCAAGAAATTTCTAAATTATGCAAAAATTTAGTAAGCTAACAGTATAGCGTTTGAAAAAAAATAAAATAAATATTCGTAGATTCGTAGGCATTTCCAAAACGCCCCCAAGTGTGCAAGCTTTTTGTGCGTGTGGATTCGGAATGAATGAATTTATGAATGTGTGGAAATATGTACGTAAATATGTTTGTGCTTGTATATATATGTGTGCATTTTTGTACTCATGGCATGCGCGTATGTATTTTATGTGCTCTACTAACTTCGCATTGCATTCACACCTATATATTTTTTTACGCAAACATACCGACAACCACATACTAACCACTGTATAAAAGAAAAATGTTATAAAAGTCTAACAAATGCAACCCTGACGCGAGAAAGACAGGAAAAGCAGTGGTCCCTTAACTCACTCGAGTATGCAATATTTCCCTCTGGTGCAACTTATTCACCCATAACAGTCATCTATGTTAAAAACAAACTTTACAATCACCGAAGAATGAAAAACGACACCAAAACTTGTAGCCTACCTTCATTTTGATAAATTAAAAACCTTAGCAAATGCATATTGCTGCAAGCAACCAACATTTTTTGTTTGTTTGTTTGCTTTATGAAAAAGTGACATCAAAAAGGTGGACACATTTACCTGCCTCAAAGTACATACAGCCATACACCCCGTTAATGGTGAAGTAAAAGCCGCTTAACGTCTTAACGTGCGCTGACCTTCAGCAACCGCAGCAAAACTTCGTACAGCAAACGAAGGAAAGAAAATTCAAAAAATAAGAAAAATTATTTGTATTGCAACTGCAACAGCACCGCTACATTCGATTGGGAGGCAATGGCTAAAGAGGCGTATCATTATTACCAAGTGGAACTAAATGCTGTTGGCCAACAACAACATCGTTTGCAAAACATTATGAATTTTGTTGAAAAAAGGGGGAAACCCCCAAAAACAAAGCTTGATTAGCATTGACTGCCTGTCATACAGTTTCCGTGTGACCTTAGTTGGCCTCCGATGTGGCAAATGAGAAATGAGTGCGCGTTGCAGTGAGGAAAGCAATCACTTCAGCTTTAGCTGTAAGAGATATATATATATATATAGGAGGAGTGGAAAAAGTATTGGTGTTACATTATCAAATATCAGAAATCTTAAACCTTTACTAGTTTCGTAAATTTGACATATGTACGTAAGAAACAAACATTCTATGGGTTGGCCCGATTTGTCAGATTACTCAAAATTCTTGACAGACATTTCATACCCAAAGCGCAGAATTTCTGCTAAAACTCAGTAAATATAAAATCTGCATTGAATTTGCTTTCCTTATCGGACACTGCTTAGGAAATATTGGTGCAGAAAGCTTAGCTATTCCTTGAAATAACTTTTGAGGAATTTGTCTGGCTGAAAAGGAGACCATTAAACATCTTCTCAGCCACTTAAATGCTTTTGATGGAACCCGAATATTTGGAAAACACTTTTTTGAAGAACTTTAAGACACTTCCTTGAAGAATACTGAATTCTATGAGAATGCGAAATCGGTAACAATTCATCCAGGAAAATAGGGGAACAGTCAAATATTTAAATATTAAAGGACAACGAAAAACCTACGCAGCAACACAAAGAGCCCGGTACGTACATAACTGTAGTTTGGTGAGACGACCACTTAACGGGATCTAGGCAGTCCAAACCTTAGCTTTGATTTTGGTAAATCAACACATCTCTTTTTGAATTCTCATACCTTACGACATATATGTGTGTAAATATCTTCAAAGGAAGCCGCCATTGCTTCATTCTCTTCAAATTTCAAAGGTCAAAGTCATTGGTTCGTCCGTTGGGTTTTGGATCGTCTCGTCACCATTTTCTGAAAGCGACTTCGAAGGTCCTAGAGCTATGTTAGCTAAAATTAGGCTATTCTAAGATCAGTTTACAGATATCTTTATTTTGATGGTACGGCTTGATTCGTCCGATAAGTTAAGAAGGTGATGTGTGTAGTTTGGAACGAATTTCCTTCATAACTTGTCTAGTTTAATTTGGAAAATGGCATGCACTCAAGATGGCCGCAACGCCGCAAGAGCTTTGTCTCCAAACATAAGTAGATAAGATATGATGGAACTTTGTTCGAAATAACATCAGTATGATATATTATTCTTGGTCACTCTTGTGTGATCTCGAGTATAAATAATCCTAAGACAAGAAAACACATCATGTTTATCAGCATAGTCTGGCCTGACATTCAATGCTGCAATACTTACGAAAGAGAAAGAAAGAAAGAAAAGGGTCGACACAGATAGTCTTTATTTGATTAATAGACTATATTTTCTATATATAAAAGTCCAGACGGTATAAGTAGGGAAAATATGCTGATATATTTTTAAAGGATCGACCAAGTTACAGATCATGCTATTCTAAGCCTGAATATTCTTTAGGCTTAGTCGTCCGGTTCTGAGCAATATAACCTATTAGCATAATATTAGAGTATTTATTTTTATATATAATCTAACGGGGTCAACTAAAGGATTCAAAATTTTCCTTTTTTCAACGTGTCTACTGGGATTGGTTTTTAAGCAGGAGTTTTGGGAGATCTTTCAATGGAAAATATAAAAAATGCTATCGGGGAAACTTTGATCTAAATTAAAATTTCCAGTCTGGAACCTGTTAGCAAACTACACATTTCTGCATTAACACTAAAGACCTCAAGAAAACCGAAAAATTCATATAAAATTACCCCTAAGAAATGGCAAAGAAGTTTTCTTCTATCTTAAATCAGTTGGCAGCTCTCAAGAAAAAATGCTCGTATATTTATTTCTTCAAGAAAATTTACAACAAAGGCAAAGTGTTTTTTAAAGCAACAGAAATAATGAAAAATATTTCTTATGATTTTTCTTGAGAGCTGGATTCTGAGCTTAATAAACAAAACTGTAGTATGTAAATATGTATACCGCTTACATTAACACTTATTGGTGAAGGGTACCTCTTCTTCTTTTGCTCTTCCAAATGTATATATGTCATCAATTTTATGATAAAATAGTGCCATACCGCCGCAAATTGTGTATAAACTAAATAACCAAAAACATTTATTTATAACAAAATAAACATTCTATCATTCAAGGGATGAACATGCATTTTAAAAAATATAGTATTGAACGAAAACTAAGTTAAAACTTTACGTCTAACTCGACAATGCTTCAAACCCATCACTTAATAAATAAATAATCATTACTAAACAATAATCAACAATAAAATAAAATTCCTTGTGTGAACGTCATATCAAAGTGGTGTGAAGAAATCTACGTGTACAAAATGCTCGCTTGGGTTGATTAGTTATGCATAAACCTTGGCTAAATCGTAGATCCTTATATGCTGAACGCGATCGTGATGATCCAACAATGCATCATCACCATACCGATTTGCTATCCTTCTCCACCTCGCCAGCTAAAAAGCAAAATAATCCAACATCGTTGATGTCGTCGTCGTCACCGTCATCGTCTATGTCAATGTCGTCGGTGTCGTCGTCGTCGTCTGCGTCGCCATTATCAACGAACATTTTTCATAATTCTACCATTGGTTCAATTAATTTAGAGGACTACGTAACCGCAATGGAGGCACGTTCCAAGGCATTAGATCGTCAACAATCGGAAGTTGATGTTTGGGCACAATTACAACAAAAGGAATCGGATATATTATTAGCAGCAGAATTGGGTAAAGCATTGCTGGAGAAAAACGAAGAATTAGTGAAGCAGCAAGAGAAACTCATCGAGGATTATTCAACGAAAATTGAGGTAAGTGAAAAAGAGATTGTTATTAGATACATATTGGTTTGAAAATTTAAATAATTTTATTACATACATATGTATGTGGGTAAAGTATATTGGTGGAGAATGACTGTTTTTGTGTGAGCAACCTTATATTTATTTATGTACGTACATAGGTATGTGTTATATTCTAACATTGAAAAGTGAAGTCATTGACTATTAACTTCCTTAGTTTGTTCAACTCTTCCGAAATAGATAAACAAATAAAATATATATTATTTACATAGTAGTCGTATTAGTCTGCTGGTAAATAGTCCAATTCAATTTGCCCGCAAACTAATGAAAAGTAATATAGCAAGTTGAGCTAACCTCTGACGAGGCCACTATGTTAATTACTCCCACTGCGTGGGGGTGAAATTGGCTAAACAATGACTAGTTATTTACGCAGGAAAAATTTCGATGTTCTTGACACACCTTGAACTTAACAACGAAATACTTATCAGACATCAAACGAATAGCCAAATAGACAATTTTGTACTATGAAGGTGAGAAAAGAGGCATGACAGGCAGGGAATTAGGAGGTTTTGTTGTGAAACACGCTGCCTTTGATTACACTCGCATCTAGCCTTAACCGCGAAAAAAGCGTAAGCGACATTTTTTCAAAATTTTCATTTTTATACGGAATTACAGCAGAATGTTCTAGGAGCAGTGCTGCGGGAAAAAAAATTAAAAACAAGTGAGAAAGTCTAAGTTCGGGCGGAGCCGAACATTAAATACCCGGCGCAAGTATTAAATATGTTTTTTCACCTTTCCGAAACCTTCCGCTAGATGGTAAGCCGGGGTGTATCAATTTTGAGTAAATTAGCGTCCTTCAATTTCGAAATATTGAAGTTTCAAGCATTTCTGAAATTTACCGTTATATGAGAAGCGGCCGTTATTTTAGTCCTATTTCAATAATTTTCAACGTTTTGCTTATATGTGGCAAGCACAATAACCACACCGAGTTTGGTACAAATTGGTAGAATGGTTACCGATATACATATATGTGATCATAAGTGGGCGGTGCCATGCCCATTTTCCAAAATTTTACTATAAACGTATTTCTTGGTAAGGAATTGTTGCAAGTATCAATTTTGAATAAATTAGCTTCAATATTTACTGATTTATCGAAGATTTTGTATTTCGCTAAATTACCGTTATATGGGATGTGGGCGTGGTTATTGTCCGATTTTAAAAAGTTTCGGCGATTTTTTATGCTGTACCAGGGCCAACAACTGTGCCAAGTTTGGAAGAAATTGGTGCAGCGGTTACCAAGATATACACATGTAACCATAAGTGGGCGTGGCTACGCCCATTTTCCAAAAATTTATAATATTCTTATTTTTCGTCGAAAAATTATTGTAAATATCAATTTTGAGCGAATAATCTCCAGTAGTTACTAAAATATCGCAGTTTTCGTATTTCTGAAAATTACCGTTATATGGGAAGTAGGCGTGGTTATTGAGCGATTTTAAAAATTTTCGGCCATTTAGTATGTTGTGCGAAGGCCAACAACTGTGCCAAGTTTGGAAGAAATTGGTGCAGCGGTTACCAAGATATACACATATAACCATAAGTGGGCGTGGCTACGCCCATTTTCCAAAAATTTATAATATTCTTATTTTTCGTCTAAAACTTATTATAAATATCAATTTTGAGTGAATTATCTTTAGTAGTTACTAAAATATCGCAGTTTTCGTATTTCTGGAAATTACCGTTATATGGGAAGTGGGCGTGGTTAAGGTCCGATTTCGCCCATTTTCAATACCAACCTACCTTGGATTAAGGGAAACCTACATACCAAATTTCGTTAAGATATCTCAATTTTTGCTCGAGTTATCGTGTACACGGACAGACGGACAGACGGACAGACGGACAGACGGACGGACGGACGGACAGACAGACATGGCTTAATCGATTTCTTTTTTCATCCTGATCATTTATGTATACATTTGTCTATATCTATCTCGATTCGTTTTGGCTGTTACAAACAACCGTTATGTGAACAAAATTAATATACCCTTGCGCTCGGGTATAAAAAAATGTCGTTACGTTATTTTTGTGTTTAAGGGCTCGATATGTATTCTACAAGGAATTCATATAAAGTGAAGTTAAATTTATGTCCAGCATGGAAAAATACCGAAAAATTCTGTTAAACCCTGAAAATTTCTAGAAAAGGTTACCACATTCCTGAAAGTACGAAAAGTTTGGAAAAAATTGCTAAACAAAATTCCAAAAAATCCTGAAATAATCCGATGGTAACCAAAAGGTCTCGAATAAAGCCGAGTAAAGCACGAAAGTTTCCGAAAAGTACTCAAAAATGTTTCTTAGCCTCGAACTGTCCCAAAAAAAATTTAAAAATGTTTCCAAAATTCCGAGAATAGGCCAACAAAACACGAAAGACTCCTTAAGATCCCAAATAAACCCCGAAAGCTTCCGAGAAATACCAAAAAAAAAATCGCAAACAAAGTACAAAAATTTGCAAAAAGTGAAACAGAATCTAAAAGCACGAAAAGTCGTGGAAAATACCGAAACAGCACCCAAAAATGTTAAAAAAGTACTCCTGAAAAATCCCGAAATCTCGAAAAATCTAAAATGACCCGAATAAAGCACGAAAGGGTACGAAAAAATCCCAAAAGTCTCAAATAAACGCCGAATTATTCGAAACTTCCCAAAAAAATATGTAAATTCCCGACTATGTTCGAAAATGTCTCACAAATTCCGAAATACTTAAGAAAACACGTATAAGTATTTCGAAAAGTTACCGAAAATTTATATGTTTTGAAAACATGCCATGGTTTTCGAAAGTAGCAAAAGAAGTTTTAATAAGTCCCAAATTTTCGAAAAATCTAGAAGATAACAGAGCAAAATATTAAAAGTCACAAACAATTTTTGAGGTCACAAATAACCTCGAAAAATTTCGAAGAATTCCCAAAAAAATGCGAAAATTATGATGAAAAATTCCCAAAAAAAAATCCAAAATACCAAAAGACTCCAAAAACTTGAGAAAATTCCTGAAAATCAATAAAAAAAGACGCTATTAACAAATATAAAATCAAGAAAAATCACTGAAGGCCCTAAAGAAACCCCGAAAGGTTTCGAGATGATATGGAAAAATTTCAATAATGCTCAATTGAAATGCAAAAAGTCAACGCAAATTCCGAAAGTTCCTGAAGCCTGCCCAATAAGTTTGAAAATGCCAAAACCCATTTATCAGCCTTCATGTTCACATTACTTGTACATTATATAGCGCTGTCAGATTACAGCTGTTAAATAGTGGCCAGAGTTAAGTAAACGCTATCCTGCCGTAAACCAACAATTTTTCACATCAAAAGTCCTTTAATCGAGTTAAAGAAAACCACAATAACATCATAACTTTTTATATGCCACAATCAGAAAAAAAACTCTATAAAACCACGAAAGTAAAAACTAAAATGAAAAGAAAAGCGTAATTCGACAGTTAAGTGCACGCACAAGCATGTGAATAACTACGTGTGCATAATGACTATAAAATCTAGCAAAAGTTCAAGGACAAACCACACGAACGACATGACCGATTGCCGAGTGGCGTAAACCACTTGCCACCTAGCTGACTTAATTCTTTACTTACAAATACAAATAAATTTTATAGAATACATATACTTATATGTAGATATGTATGTATATGATGTATACGCGGCATACATCACTTCCACTAACTATTTATTTATGTACATAAATATGTACGTATATTCCTTCAAACGCATACCAGTGTGCCTATCTTTAGTGCCTCATGGTGGCTCGTGGATAGTTTGTGGTTGGGTGCAGTTAAATTTTTGATGAGTTTCTTTTTTTTTTTTTTTGTGGCGCTACTTGGGTGTGTACGTGAATGGCTTTCTCATGTTTCGACTGTATATTTACAAGCCAGCCAATGACTGTCTGTCCGTGGGGGATCCACTGATAATACGCCCCTTGGCTCGTGTCGCAGTGAATGCGCGGTCGAAGTGCCACTGAAGTGATAACAATTTCAAAACAAACGTCTGTAAATTATTATTCATTAGACTGCGAATATAGTAAATGTAGCCTACTGTCATTAATGCCCACCTAAAATTGTTGTTTCAAAATTTATGAACTACTTGAAGAGGGGATTTTCTCAATTATCTCTGAGATTTTTACGTTGAACTTATCTGCAACATACAAGTAAGTTTTAAGCAAAAAATGCAACCGACTTCAATGCGACAATACAAATTTAAATAAATAAGGCTCGGAACTAAACCAAATTAGTAGATATGACACCACCCAAAAAAATTGTCAAAAACGGCGACGTGGTCCAAAAAGTTAACCGGTAACATACAAAAAAATAAAAAATAAAAAATTATTTCTTCTTTTTTGAAGTCGGTTAAAAATAATTACACTCCAAAGCCTAATATTTCTTTCTGTAAAGCGAATCTCGGCCAAATTCTTTCATAGTTTCATTCGCTACTTTTTCCATTGGCATTGAACTTCTAATGACGGTAACGCTAAGCTATAACCCTGCTGCATACGTCAAGCAAATAAATATTTATGGTTACAAATACATACATTCATATATCTTGTAATGTTTTTAAGTTGCTGCCTGTATTGTTCGAAATTCTCCAGGAAAATTTTGAAATTCGCAAACTTTTTCAGAAAATATAAAAAATTTTTTAGGCTATGTTTTGACCAGAAAGGATTCACTACAATAAAATGTATTTGAATGTGAAAGATTTTTTTACCTTTCTTGCCGTTTTTGTATATTTTTATTCAAGGAAAAAATTCAGAAATTCTGTTTTTTAAATATTTCTTTGATTTGAGATTTGAGAAATAAAAATTTATTTTAATAAATATGTTTTTTATACAATTTCTTAGTATACTTTTTTCAATTTTTTTGAAAAATTTTGTAATTTTTTCTCTTCTTCATTTAAATAAAATGTATCCAAATTTTTGATTGCTCAAATTAAAATATTTAATTCTTTTTAGAAAAATTCCATTGATTTTTTTGTTGTTTTTTTTTGCAATTTCGGCATAATTTTTCTCTTGTCTTCTTATCCGTTTTCCTTTTTTTCAAATATCCACACCATTATTGCAGCTTAAATTCGAAACTAAAAAATTCATATATCTAAAAAAATACCACGAAAATTTCAGGATCTTTTAAGACCATATGGAGGTTTTGCATAAAAATATTTAGCCAAGAGTTTTCAAACGTTTTTTATTTTACCATTTTTTTAATGAAAAATTTTGTAACACTTTACTTTCCGAATTTTTGTTTATATTTTTTTATTTTATAGCCCCAAATATAGTTTTTAAAACGAGACTAGAACTATCCTTGTAACTATAATTGATTTTGAGTTATTCAAAAGGAAACGTGGAAATTGTAAAAATTAGAATTTTGCCTAACTGGAAAAATATATATATTTTTTTTTCATTTGGTAAAACTTGGTTATATGATAAAAGAAAAGTTCTGACCAAAATTCATCCAAATAAGAAATGGTCAGTTCCAACCATTGGTCGATTTGACGTGGATTGACGCATGTATAATATAATAATAACTTTTTTACTACAGGTATCACAATCGTGAATTCTGCCAATAATTTACTCACTACTGCATAGCCTTTTTCTGAGCGATTCCCAGTGGGAAAATGTAATGTATAGTACTTAGTCGAAAAAAATAATCACTAAAACAACCATTTCACATTCGGAAATACATTTTTTCCCCAGGGCGATGTCCTACGAAAAGTGGGGCATTCAATTTTGCATTACCTAGTATCGAGAAATTAATGTGTTTTAATATGAAATTTTTGAATACATTAGAATGCTGGTACCATATTTGGCAGTAATATTATCGAGAACTCATAAGAAATGTGTTATATTATTTATCACGCATTACTACTTTTCCGACTGGGTTGCTTTGTATAATCGTCTCTTAGAAAATGAAACACGTAAAAACCATTTTTGTTCCAAGTAAATAAACAACCATAGCGACAGGTAAACAAATTCAAAAACAAGAAGAAAAACACATTTGAATGCAAAGTAACTGAATATAATGGTGATAAAATCGATGAGAGTGCGCGATTGATAGAGCAGAGATAGTTTTCCAAATGACGCCTGCGTGGGAAGCATGAAAACACAAATGTTGGTAATTTTTTATCTTTAATAAAATGCGCTGCAAATGCAAAAATCGATAACAATTATTTATTGACAATGACGTGTGGTTCTATTATTTTACTTTTATGCATATGCATGTACATTATTTTCGTTATGCCATGCGCACGCTCAGGTGATTGAATTCTTTATTAGTTATGAGAACAGACAAGTTTAAGTATTATTTTAAGAAATAATCGATTGTTGGCTTAGTATTAAAAAATTGACATGTAACTTGCTTCTAAATAAAAATATATGAAGAGTCACAACTGAGTGTCGAAAAATTTTAAGAGTCGTATTATTCCTTACTTTTTTTTGAAGTGAAACTTCTTAATCGAGTTCGGAGATGGTTGCGTTAAATATTTAACACCAAGCCATAAACTCTGTATCGTTCATTCGATTTTTAAAAATGAGGTGTCACATGAAAGGCCTTGTCCTTCGGGTGTACACCATAGCCTTAGTTCCATGAAAGGAGTTGCCACATGTTAGAAAATCGAATTCAAAATTTCTCTGCCGCAGAGGGTTGCGTAAAATATTTAACATCAAGTCATAAAATCTGTATCGTTCGTACGATTTTCAAAAATGAGGTGTCACATGAAAGGGCTTGACCTGCAGATGTGCAGTATGGTTTTAGTCTTTTAAAGGGTTGCCATATATACGAAAATCAAATTCAAATTATTTATTAAGTTAAACGAATTATCCCAATATGGGTATCAAAAGAAATGGTTTTGAATAAGTTGTATTTTCTAGCTAAATGTAGGAGGGTTGCCACCTGTTTCAAAAGTAAAATTTAGTTAAATTATACAAAAGTCTTACGCTTAAAATACTATACAGTACAGAAAGAGCTTACAGAAACACAATTAAAATATGTTTGAGGTGCCTGAAGAGGGTGGCCACCTGTTTAAAAAGTTAAACTCAAATTATTGAAGCAAATCTTATTATTATAGCTCCGTTATGTTTGCGATAAATATTTAACGCCACGGTACAGGTAGCATATGACGGGTATAGAAAACGAATAGCTGCGTTAAACGCCAATTGGGCGGGAAAGGACAATGCAAAGACAAGAATATAATCAAAAACAAATATAAAGATAAGATGAAGATGAAGATGAAGATGAAGATGAAGATGAAGATGAAGATGAAGATGAAGATGAAGAATTTCCTCTATTAAGTTTCACTTCTTCCGCGCATAGGGACTACACGCACTGAGTTTTTTGTTTTTAAGGAGTACATTATAAAATAAATATAAATATGACAGATTCGCAGAAATTGCGAACTAGTAAAAATGTCTTTTGGTGCCGCTTTCTCAATTAGATTTCTTAATGTATCTACGCTTTAAATATAAATTTCGTTCTCAAAATGTTTGTTTAAAGGGCAGAAAAATTTTAAAATCAACTTGAGAAAATGGCCGTTAAGCTTTTTGAAGATTTTATTTCGATTATTGTTACATCGTTTCCATGTGCAGAGGTTTTTTAAGCTTGCTATGTATATATTTTGTAAACTTATTTAATTGTATGTTTCCAGAGTAAAAATTATTTTTGGCCCACCGTTGGTTTACATACATCACTGATGGGCACTGTCTTGCCCGAAGGGCAAAGCTCTTTTAAGCTTCCTATACATTTTTTTATAGGCGTGTGTAGAGTAAAAGATCTCTCTGCTCATCGCTGGTTTACATGGGCGCACACAGGGCCGTCACTGGATTGGGGTTTCACAAGTTTTCGTGTCTATCGAGCGAAAACAAGTTGTACTTGCTTTAAAGCACTGATGGGCACTGTCTTTCCCGCGGGCAAAGCTCTTTTAAGCTTCCTTTACATTTTGTATAGGCGCGCGCCGAGTAAAAGCTCTCTCTGTTCATCGCTGCTTTAAAGCAAGGCTTTGCCATAGAGAGCTTTTGCTACATCTGTAGTCGTTTATATATGCGTAGATCAGAGAGAGAGAGCTTTGACTTTGTGTTTGCAATTATTTTTACAGTTTCTTAATATGATTGATAATTTTTCAAATAAATAGTGCATTGAAAGTTCATACCAATAAGTCAAAGATTAATTGGTCCATAGCTTTTGGTAGGTGTTACAATGCTTTTCAAAGCTGTTCATGCATACCTGTTTAGAAAAGGAACAGCCGTTTGACCTAAGATTGAGATTGAGATTGAGATTGAGATTGAGATTGAGATTAAGATTGAGATTGAGATTTAGATTGAGATTAAATTTAATATTAAATTCAAAACCTAGATTACGATTATGACAAAGAACACGTTTAATAATAATTTACGATTACAATTAAATCTAAGATCATGATTAAGATTAGGAATAAGGTTAAGATTAAGATTACGATTAAAAGTAAGAATAAGATTACGATTAGGATCAAGATTCAGATTAAGGTTATGCTCAAAATTAAGATTATGATTAACATTAGGATGGACACTATGATATATTTACGATTAAGATTAATATTAAGTTTAATACTAAAATTGAGATTTAGATTAAGATTAAGTAAATTATTCATTACTTTTTAGGCAGAAAAATATTCGTTTTAATATGATGAGTTGTACGGGTAATAGGAAGAAGTTTCACTTCAGTGAATTCCACACCAATTCTTTTTTATTATATGGCTTCATGTATGTCTGATTAACTATCCTGACAGACAGTACCCTCGAAATAAATTTCCGCGAGAAAGTGCTGGAGTCTAGGCGGGTATTGCAGGCTACTTCAAGCCTGCTTTATATCAGCGTCTGCTGGAAAACTCCAACGACATATGAAGTTGCGATTTTCCTCTAACCCGGGTGGGTCGGAAAAGTTCAAAATATCCGCTAAGGATCACAAATTTGCATCTATTGATATTGATAATAGACCCAATATACACACATAATTGTAATCCATGTGGAGAAACTCAATATTACTTGAAAATATAGTCGTAAATATGTGAAGGATTCTAAAGAAGAATCAAAACTTTACTTGGCACAAAAGTGCAACGCTTTGGCGAAATTAAGATTAAAAAACTTTACCTCATGTATGACAATCATACATACGAAAGCCCCCAGGGTTGATAACTACAATAGTTATGCCCTCGATCTTTTCAGTTAGCAGTAATTCATTTTTTGGGGAGTCCACTACACAATTCGGACTATGCCGATGGCTTGCGCGTGAACATGATGGCTAGTACCGAGTAAGATCACTTTAAGCCGGATCTAACCACGCAAAACTGCTCCGCCTTTAATCGCTCATAAATTTCTTAGAAAAAAAATATCTATTAATTTTTCCACCAGCCTAAACAACGCACCTAAAGTTGCCCTCACTAATGCATGAAAACCACCAGTGGTCAAACGACCGCTTCATCACCTTAACAAATGCGAGTAGGTGTTGCTTTTAGAAGCTGGCAAATTACAGTAATTTACAATGAATTAAATTATAATTGCTTGCAATTTCTAAACCACGCTCGACAGTCGGTGTACAAGGCAGACAACTGCAACAGCATAAACTTTAGGGGCTACTTTAACTGCTGCTGCGTTTTTTATTGCACTTGCAGACTCCAATTACGAATTACAAAAAATAACCATATGTTTTTATAAATATATATGTCTGTATGTAAGTGTTGCAGCTAAAGAATCACTTTGATGATTTGCTAGCGCACAAAAGTGTTAGTGGTCTACAATTATTTTCAAAGCGTTCAAATTCAATTGATTGCTTGCGGTTAAAAGTAAACTTGAAGCGAACAACTTTACAAGCAGCAATTTTCTTGGTACGAGTATTATCTTATTTCTGTTTGTTCATTCAAAATTATTGCTTACGAAAAGCAACTCGTAGATCTTTTGTGTTACATACATATGTAGCAATACAAATGTAACAGAATGGTATGACCTCAGTCAGATTAGTCAGCTGATTTGTGCTTGACTTAGTTATTCATCCACAGAAGCATGTCTTCACTTTTGGGTAATTGTATACAAACTATTGAATACGCGTTAGTTTGTACGAGTTTGAATGTATAGTTACTTGCAGTCATTTTGTACCAAATTATCTTTTGTGTATCATTAATCAACGATTTCTAAAAACTTCGAAGAGGAGCTGAAAGTGATTTTAGTAAAATTATAGAGAAGATAAAAAGTGAAAATGGTTTTAAGTCGTTTGCTGTTCAACCCACTTATTAGTTATTAGGCTGCATGACAGTGTGTTAATTGATACACCAAACACATTGGAACTCCAAAGCTTGATCTCTTAAAACTGCAACTGTACACATTTTTACCGACCTTGTGAACACCACAATAAAGGAATATTAGTCTTAAAATTTTTTAAAAGTAAATTTTATTTAAACCATACGCTAAAAAAACGCAGGAGAAATTTTTTTTTCAACATTTTCTTTTTGGTGCAACTAGATGCTCTAGGAGCATTTCTGCATCAAACCAAAAAATTTTGAAAAAATGCAGCTTATTTTTTTTCGTATGCCT